GTTGACACTGACCTGGAACTCACTACATAGTAGAGGCTGGTCTCAAACTCACAGTGATCCTCCTGCCTCAGCCTCCTGAGTGCTGGGATTACAGGAGTGCGCCACCACACTCAGCTTCTTTTCATTTTCTAATATCTGCTTCAATCTCCTTTTTCAGAGTACTGTAGTTTTCAAGGTAAAGGTCTTTTACTTCCTTCATTAGACTGATTCCTAGGTATTTCACTTTTTCATTTCATTTTTTGGATGCTATTGTGAAAGGTGTTGTTTCTCTAATTTCTCCCCCCGTTAGTTTGTTATTGGTGTACAGGAAGGGTATTGATTTTTGAGTGCTGACTTTGTATCTAGCTATACTACTGAATTTGGTTATTAAATCTAGAAGTCTTTTGGTGGAGTTTTTGGGGTTTTCTATGCAGCGTATCATGTCATCTGCAAATAACAGTAGTTTAATTTCTTCCTTTCCTAGCCTCATTCCTTTTATTTATTTCTCTTGCTTAATTGCTTTGGCTAATGTCTGCAGAGCTATATTGATTAAGAGTGGTGACAGTGGACATCCTTGTCTTGTTCTCGATTTTAGAGTGAAAACTTTCAGTTTTTGTCCATTTAGTAGGATGTTGGTTGTCAGTTTGACATAGATGGCTTTTGTCAGTTTGAGATAAAGACCATCTATTCTAATTTTCTCTAAGTTTTTTTAAATAAAAAAAACTGGATTTTGTCAGATGCTTTTTCTGCATCTATTGAGAAGATCTTATGTTTTGTGTTCTTGGTTCTGTTAATGCAGTGTATTATATTTATTAATTTTCATATGTTTAACCATCCCTGCATCCCTGGGATGAATCCTGCTTGGTCATGGTGTATAATTTTCTTGATGATTTGCTGCATTGTTTGCCAGTATCTTTTTGAGGATTTCTGCATTTATGTTCATTAGGGAGATTGGCCTATAGTTCTATTGTTTCGGTTGGATCCTTCTCTGGTTTTGGTATCAAGGTAATGCTTGCTTCCAGGAATGAATTTGAGAGTGTTGCTTCCCTCTCAATTTCACTAAAGAATTTGAGAAGTAGTGGCATTAGATCTTCTCTAAGTTTCTTGTAGAATTCAGTAGTGAATCCGTTAGGGCCTGGGCTTTTCTTTGCAGGTAGGTTTGCAATTATATCTTCAATTTCATTGCCTGATATTGGTTTATTTAGAATTTTTATACCTTCTTGATTCAGTTTTGCTAATTCATATATATCCAGGAATCTGTCCATTTCCTCTGTATTTTCCACCTGTTATGGTTTGTGGTTAGATGTCTCCCCCAAAGCCTCACGTGCATGAGGTGAGACTTTCTTTTTCAGAGGTGGTTGAATCTGGAATATGTGATGCAGGGTTAAGGGCGTGTGATTACTAAACCACATGTGAGTGATTACTTTGGCACCGCCCTAAGCTCCCGTAGTCTGAATAAAAGGGGCAGAAAAATGCTGTTAAACTCCCTTTATTGCCTCTGCTGCCTTATGCGCGCCATGTTGTTTCTCCTCTGTGATGCTTTATTTGTCATCCCAGCCTCAGAGCCAGCCACTTATGGACTGAAACCTCTGCGAACTGTAAGGCAAATAAACTCTTTTCCCTCCAGCTTTGGGTGCTGGGTATTTTGTCTCAGCAATGAGACAAAAGTAACTAACATACCGTCTTATTAGAATATAGGTTCTTAAAGTAGATATTAATGATCTTCTGGATTTTTGCAGGATCTGTTGTGATTTCTAATTGTATGGATTGGAGTCTTTTCCTGCCTTTTCTTTTTTTATAAGGTTGGCCAAGGATTTGACAATTTTATTTAATCTTTGAAAGAACTGACTCTTTAAATCATTGATTCTTTGTATTGTTTTCTTAGTCTCCATTGCATTAATTTCTGCTCTGCTCTTTATGATTCCCTCCCTCATACAAGCTTTGGGCTTGACTTGCTCTTCTTTTTCTAGAAGATTGAGGTTCAACATTAGGTTATTTGAGCTCACTCTGTTTTTCTAATATGGCAATTCACTGCTATAAATTTCCCTCATAGGACTGCCTTCATTGCAACCATAAATTCCGTTATATTGCATTGGCATTATTAATTATATAGATACTGTCTAATTTCTTCTTTAATTTCATCAGTGGCCCATTTTGGGGGGGAGCATGCTATTTAATTTCCATGTGTCTATGAAGTTATTGTGGTTTCTTTTGCCATTGATTTCCAGTTTCATTGTACTATATTTTAATAATAGGAATGGAATAATTTCAATTCCTCTGCATTTACTTGAGCGTGCTCTGCGAGCTAGTAGGTGGTCTATTTTGTAGAACAGCCTGTGTGCAGCTCAGATGAAGGTATATTCTGATGCTGTGGAGTGGAACACTCTTTAGACATCTACTAAGTTCATTTGTTCAAAAGTTTGGTTCAATTATATTTCTTTGTTGATTTTTTTTGTTTAGTTGATCTATTTTTTGTTTTGTTTTGTTGTGTTGTGCTTTTTGGTACCAGGATTGAACTCGGGACCTTAAGCTTGCGAGGCAGGCAATGGAACCACTGAGTTAATTTCCGGACCTTTGATCTATTTGTGACAGTGGGGTATTGAAGTCCCCCATTACAAATGTGTTAGTGCTTATTTGATTTTTCATATCTGTTAATATTTGTTTTGTATAGTTGGGTATGTTGGTGTTTGGTGCGTATACATTTATGATTCTTATCTCTTCCTCTTGGATTGTTCCCTTTAAAAGGATACTCAAGTGAAATAAATACTGAATAGTTTCTTTAATGTGAGAAACTGAAAATAAAGACTAAAAGGTATAATAGATAATTTGAAATAGGAAGAAAAGGTGCAAAGTGGAAGGGAAAATCGGGGGTGGGTAGGGGAAAAGAAAGATGGGAATGGAATTTACATGAGAAAAAGAGAAGATGGAAGCAAGTCTTTGTAGATAAGGAGGGGTGCTTTGAGGTCTCTCTCTTTGTTCTCCCACTGGGCTTCGATTCTCACTTCAGATCCTTGCTGGGTCCCTTTCTTCTCTTCCTCGTGTTGCTGCAGACCAGCATCTGGACACCAAATCTTGGAGTGGCTGTTTCTCTGCTGTTCACCACCACTCTGCCATCTTCCTGGAAACCCCAAATGGTTTTTTTGTTTTGTTTTGTTTTGTTTTTTTGGTACCAGGGATGGAACTCAGGATCTTGCGCTTGTGAGGCAGGCGGCAGAACCACTGAGCTAAATCTCCGGCCCAGCCCCATATGGTTTTGCTGTCAGCCACAACATCTCCTGGTGTGCTTGGAGCAACCAAGGGGTCTGGGGGGACCCACGCCGATGCTTGCCCAGAAGGAAGGTTTGACCAGGAAGGGATCCTCCAATTCCACAGGGGATGAGAGGAATGGAGGTGGGGTCCTCCATGTAACTAATGCAGAACCCTGACCACTACCCAGGCAGGCACCATCTCCAGCACCCAGGGGAAGGTAGCTTGGCTCACTGAGATGAAGGCCTAAGACCTCCCCGTCCACGCTGTGCATGGAGATGCGGGTGGACAGGGAGACTCGATCAGGAGGGAGCTCTGTGCTGACAAAGTCTGACAAAGGTTCACCAGCATCTGCCAGAGTCTGCAATACTGATTATGCCCAGAACATACTGTAAGGAGTGCAGGGTGCAAAGAGTGAAATCCCTCCATTGGTTTACTTTAAGAAGTGAGTCTGAGGACCAGGGATTTAGCTCAGTGGTACCGTACCTGCCTTTTAAGTGCAAGGGCCTGAGTTCAATCCCTGGTACAAAAAAAAAAAAAAAAAAAAAAAAAAAAAAAAGAGAGAGAGAAGAGGGTCTGACTGAAGCTACGTGACTCACAGAAGTATCTTATGAGCACTGTGGTAGCACACAGGGCAATCTGACCTCCCGCTAGCGGCCATGGCTGAAATGAGCTAACAGCCTATAAGCTGTGGGGCTAATACGAGGTAAGCGTGTGGCTGAGGTCAGAGTAAGTCACACCTACATTCCAGTCCCACAATCAGTGCCTTCACAGCTCGAAGGGCAGTGCTCTAATTACAACCATACGTTTTGTCTATCTTACTTCTAACTTGAAAATGCTTTGACTCGTCCTCTTTGCAGCCTTGCCTGCATCGGTTTCCATGGTAATTACACATATTATCTTTTACCCTGATTGATGAACAATAAAATTCAATGGCAGAGGCAGGCCAGTGCCTTTTGCCAAAGGAGCATTGGCAGCCCCAGTTCACTTTTCTCTTTAACCCTGTCTTAAGTTTTTCTTTAACCTTGCATTGCATACTGGGCAGGTGGGGGCTAGAGACTCACTGCAGGAGTCTCTGGCAACCACCGCCCCACTGGCCGGAGGCACTGGAGTGCAGCAGATTTTCTCCTCTTAGACTGCAACCTTTGCCCAGCAGGAATGGGGAAAGCTACAGCCACAGAGTGAGCTGTGCAGGACGTTTTGGCCGTAAAGGGTATGGCTATTCGGTTGTAAAGAGCACAGTGACAAAAATAAGAGAAGAGGACTCCCTGTGGTATTAAGACACCCACACAACACCTCCACTGAGGAGATGCCACCTGTCTCAGTCATTTCATTTTCCTTGTCGCTGAAACACAAGACCGGACACCCACAACTTAAAGGAGGTTTATTTTGGCCCACATTTCAGTCTTTGCATAATCTGCCGGCTCCAAGGTCGGACGGCATGGCAGAGGGGCTGGCGGAGGAAACTGCTCACATCACGGGGGCCAGGAAGAGGAGTGGGAAGGGAGGAGCTGAGGAGGGAGAGTCCCCTTCCAGGTTACACCTTACCTGCCAACAGCACATTTGGCTGTAGCACACCCAGGATTCAGTCACCTTTGAAAAGCTCCACCTATTGAGCACATGAGGCTTTGAGGGGACAGCGACACATAAACCATGACCGGGCCCCATCAGCATCCAGGCCCTCTGTATAAAAGATCCTCCACTGCCCGCCCCTCAGCACTCCACTCTGAGGACCACACCTCCGGCACATGGACCCCTGGGGACGGACACACCTGAGCAGGCCTCCAATGAAGCAGGTCCCCAGCGCTCCTGTGGGCAGGGAAGGTATTGCTGCTGGAAGCCATCCCACTCCTCAGCCTCTGTGACCTCACACTAAGACTTCTGAGGCTTCTGGCTTCTGAGGCTGCTGTCACTGTGGAACTCAGAAAGCCATGGGGGATGAGGAGGAGCCTAGTGCCTTTGATTTCCCTGGGTGGCACAGGGGGCCTAGCTGTGCCTAGCCGGGCGGATCTTAAAGAATGCCATGTCCCACGTGAAAAGCCCCCAACCACCACCTCTCGACTCATTTTCCTGGTTCCTTCCGAGCCTGCTCCCTGCCTTCAACGTGGTCCTGCTGGTCATTTTCAGTGGCCTCTTCTTTGCATTCCCGTGAGTCTCCAGTGCAGACTGTCAGATTTCCTACAAAGAGAGGGAAAGGAACATAGATAACAGGAGAGAGGCAGAGTGTAGGGAGAAGGGCACGGGTCGGGGAAAGAGGATACACTCTAGTTAGTTATAGGGAGCCAGGCAGGCAGGCCGAAGTCTAGAGGGCCCGGGGCATCTGGGCAGCTGCAGGTAGCTGCTAATGCCGGTGACATCTGGTGGAGCCCCCGGAGGCCTGTCCCCAGTGTGGAGATTTAGAGCTGGCTTGAGGGTCTGCAAAGAGACCCAGGCAAGCCAGGCCTGGGGGCGGGAGGCAGAGCTTCGGCTCACTCTGGGTCCAGACTGAGGCTGGTCTGGTCTCAGTTGCAGGTGGCTGGCCCAGAATGGGGAGTGGGCTGTTCCCGCAGTCACCGGCCCTCTCTTCGTCCTCACCTTCTTCAGTCTCATCTTCCTCAACTTCTCCGACCCGGGTACCTTACATCAAGGTGAGGCCTCGGGCCCCTAGGAGGCAGAGGTGGCACCCCAAGGGCTGGGGATTGCAGGGGGGACTTCTAAGTACTCCACCCACCTCCAGCCCTAGGACCCCTCTTCCCACGCCTTGGCGGTGCCCAGGCAGCGGAGTGATGGAGGTCTCTCTCCACGCCAGGCTCCCTGAAGGAGGATCCCATGTTGGTCCATGTGGTGTGGGTGAACCACAGGGCCTTCCGCCTGCGGTGGTGCCCCAGGTGCTGCTTTCACCGCCCACCTCGGACTCACCACTGCCCTTGGTGCAACATCTGTGTGGAGGTGAGCATCCCTTGCCGGCCTTCCCCTATCTGGCTGGGTGCTCGAATCAGGAGTGGTGTCTCTCAGGACTGCAGGTGGCCAAGGGTGGCAGGGATTCTCAGCTCGTGGTCACTCACATAGGTCACTGCCTCTGGCCTGCACCTGTCCTAGGGGCTGCGCAGGTGCTCACAAGCACGGGGCACCCATGTTCCCACCGTACATCCTAACTACGGCTCCCAGGACGGGAGCCCTGCATCAGGGCTTCTGTGACGGTTTCTTCCCGAGTGGGAGCCAGTGTGTGGGGTGAAGGGCCGGTGGCCTAGAGGGAAGGGTCGGGGGAGCTCAGGATCTTGGGACAGGTCCTCACGGCCCACCTCTGCTGCCTTGTCGCCCAGGACTTTGACCACCATTGCAAGTGGGTCAATAACTGCGTTGGTCACCGCAACTTCCGCTTCTTCATGCTCCTCATCGTGTCCCTGTGCCTCTACTCCAGCGCCCTGCTGGTCACCTCCCTGGTGTTCCTGGTGCGCACCAGCCACCTGCCCTTCAACCTGGACAAGGCCATGGCGTATCCTCACTGACCCAGGCCCGGGGGTGGGGGGCACGGCCTAAGGAGAGGCTGCTTGGGAGCAGCATAGCCCGTGAAGATGGGAAATAGGACAGGAGGGACTAGAGAGGTCACAAGCAGGCTAAGGAAGGCAGGAAAGAGGACGGGGGATTAGCTCAGAGGCATCACGCCTGCCTCACAAGCGCAAGATCCTGAGTTCTATGTGGGGGGGAGCGGGAAAGGGACAGAGCAGACCACAGCGTAGTGGGCTGAGATTTATCGCGAGTGGGGCAGGAAAGGGACAGAGGGGACCACAGTGTGTGGGGGGTGAGATTTATGGGCGGGACTAACGATGGAACTTGGGGAGTGGATGGTCGGGTCTGGATGGGGCGGGACTAGGACGGAGTCAGGATCTAGGATGGGGCTGGGGCGAGGCCAGCGTTGGTGGGCGTGGCTAGGATGGCTGGGGCGGG